GAATGGATGTCTACCTCACTTTATGGACAAAGAATCATGCAAGCTTCTCATGAAAAGAAATAGGACGAGACTATGAGCGTCTGGGATCAAACGGGGACTGATTCGGAGTCCGGACGAGGGAGAAACGAAGCATTAAACAGAGGCTGAGCAAGCCACACGGGCATCCTGGAACTCCACACGGCCGTGTGGGTTGTGGCCGTGTGGAAATCACCGAGCCTTCACACGGGCAGCTGGGAAACCCACACGGCCGTTTGGCCTAGCCACGTGATCGGGAATTTCTGTTTAAAACTCGATTTTCAGCCAAAGGAAAGGGGAGAGCGGGGTTTTGGTTCCCAAACACCCAAGGGACGAACCCTAGAGAGAGAGAGCGACTTGGGAACATTCTTGGAGCTATTTTGGAGGATTTCTTCGCCATTGGAGCTCGGGAATCAAGCTTGGAGATGGAGATTGAAGATCTAGATCATATTTTTGCAGTCTCTCTCTTCTCTATGGAGTAACTTCCCTTCACTTAGGTTTTGATGAACCCTAGTTCCATGTGTTAGGATCTTTCTTGTATGAAGTTTTGGATGCTATATTGTTTGATTATAATCGATTGAGGCATGATTTATCAAGTCAATTGAATCTTGATCAAATTCTCTTGATTTCTGCTTTAACCTATGATAGATAGAATCTGATTAGGTTAAGAGAGCTTCCTTGATTGATGGTGGTGAATTGATTATACGAGAGTTAGTCAATCTACTGCTTTGTACTGGAATCCAATTCCGGTAGTGGAGTTCTGTGTTCATAGCCTCAGCTTTCTATCCCGATGAAGGTTAGTCGCCTGCCGGGTAGTTGGACTGAGAGGGCTTGGTCAGCTTAAGAGATTCCAAGCTACTGTCGGATATTCCGCAGTTTAATCAACAGTAGATCAACCAAAGGTAATTGCAACTTGGACCTAATTGAGGAGATAGGGGGAATCATACCTAAGTGAGTTCACAACTTGTAATTAGTAGAGTAGTCAGTAGAGTAGTTTATAAATCAATCCTTAATCTAGTTTGCTAGATAATGAACTGAAGCTGAGTAATAGTAACTCTAGAGACCCGTGGATTCGATATTTATTACTTGTGCCGCTATACTGCAGTCCCTTTCATTGGTTACACTTGGCCATTGTTAGGAGTTGTGTCATAGCGAGTCAGTTGCCCAAGACATTGAAGTGCGGTTGACGGGGAACAAGATCCCACGTATGATTTTGAATGAGGGCTGAATGTTCCTTGTGAAGCGTGGGATCCCACTCGGGATATTTCATAGCTTCAGAGACTGAACGGGGCTCAAGAGGAGGAGACCGAGTTGTCGCATTAGCCTGAAAGAGTCGCTTGGGCTTATAGATACCAGCATGCGCCCTTGTGGTCATGTTGTGATTGCGGATAAGTGGAGGTGGGCCGGCTGAACAGGAAGCAGTGGGCGGCGGCGAGGAATTCTCAAGCCGATGAGAGGAGGATGGGGAGGCCGGGCGGGCCGGTGGGGCAGCAGCTGGGGCCTGGCGGGCCTGAGGAGCAGCGGAAGAAGCCGGATGGGCCGGCCTGGTAAGGGATGCAGGAGAAGGGGGAGGCCCATATGGAGCAGCCGGAGGCCCAGATTGTACAGCGGAGGGATCTGGCGCAGAGGGGCCAGCAGCTGATGAGAAGGGAGCCTGGTGAGTGCCAGTGATGGGCCAAGGCCCATTGAGTGGGAGATGAACAATGGATGGGCCTGTGTCGTGCAACCATGTAGCCACCGTGGAGGAATCTGCAGGAGAATTAGGAGAGAAGCCAGGAAAGGAAGTTTCTACAAATATAACATGGCGAGAAAGAAAAATGCGGTGAGTTTGGGGATCAAAACACTTGTAAGCACTGCGTTGTGGACAGTAGCCAATATAAAGACAAGGCCGGGAGCGAGGATCAAGTTTATTAGAGGAGTAAGGGCGTAACTAGGGATAGCAGAGACAACCAAAGATATGAAGTTTAAGATAGTTCGGAGCAAGGCTAAACAACATAGTGTAGGGAACTTGACCACGTAGAGAGGATGAGGGTAGGCGGTTAATCAAATAGGCAGCTGTGGAAAAAGCAAAAGACCAAAAGATAGTGGGAAGATAAGCATGATGCAGGAGAGTGATACCCGTTTCGACAAGATGGCGATGTTTTCGTTCAACGAGGCCATTGTGCTCGGGAGTATGTGGTGGTGTAAGGAGGTGACTAATGCCATGATGAACAAGGGTGGAGCACAGTTTTTGGAACTCACCACCACCATCAGAATAAATGCGACGAATGGTGGTGGAAAAATAATTTTCAACCAGCTTGCGAAAATCAAGAAACACACAAAGAACATCAGACTTAAACTTCAACGGATAATACCATGTATAACGAGAAAAATGATCAACGATAATTAAGTAATAACAAAAACCATCAATGGAGGAGACCGAAGCCAGACCCCAAACATCCATATACAATAAATCAAATGGTCTAGTGCTGAATAAGGTAGACACAGCAAAGGGAATTTTGTGACTTTTATTGGAAAGACAAGAGTTGCAATGATCACTGACTATAGAGGAAGAAACCGGTAAGGATTGAGAGCGAATGAGACTAGAGAGTGAGCGGGAGGAAGGATGGCCAAGGCGGGAATGCCAGGACGTGGAGGAGGTACGAGTGGTGACAAGCGCAAGACGAACATGGTCCACATCACTAGGCAGCTCATAGACATCGCCATGATTTCCCCCTTTCAGCAGTGGCGCCCCCGTGCGAAGATCCTTCACAACAAAACAATTAGCAAAAAATTCCACCAAGATGGGATTAGTACGACAAAGCTTGGCAACGGAGATAAGTTTGCGCTTGATGGCAGGAGCACATAAAACATCATGTAATTGTAAGGAAGAAGTAGAGTGTTGAAGAGAAGTAGACCCAATGTGCGTAATTTTCAAACCTGTGCCATCGCCAACCAGGAGCTCATCAGGAACAGTAGAATCCGAATAGAGAGACAGATTGCCTAAATCTGAGGTAACATGATGAGAAGCGGCCGAGTCAAGGAGCCAAGGTCCCGAGGACGAAGGATGGTTGGTGGTGGTATGATGAGCCTGAGATTGATGGGCCTGATAAGCCTGACGAGCCTGAGGAAATAGTTTAAAGCATTGTCGAACTGAGTGACCGGGGCGGTCACAATACTGACATACAATGGAGGGCCGGCGGCTGGTGGACTGAGCAGGTGAGGGCGGCCCAAGAGAGGACTGGTCTAGATGGCCAAATGATGGGTCTGAAGCCCGCTGATAATTAGAAGCCCTTGGAGTTGAAGCCCGTTGTGGCTGCTGAGAAAGCCCTCGCTGGGAACGTGGGGAAAACTGCCTGCCGCCGCCGTGATGCCGCTGCTGTCCCTTAGTAAAAAAAACAGTCGGAACTGTTGACTTTGATTGAGCCTGGAGATCGGCTTCATATTCAACAAGGGAGTCGACCAGATCCTCCAGGCTGAGTCCAAAACCACGAGCACGGACGACAGCCGCAAACGCACTATATTCATCGCCCAACCCGCGAAGGCAGAAGACAACAAGGTCGAGGTCAGAGACGGGTTTGCCGATAAGGGCGAGTTCCGCAGCGATGCCCTTTAAATCATTCACAAAAGACATAACATCACGATTCCCTTTGACAGTTTTGGCCAATTTTCCTTTCAGATGAAGAACTCGAGACTGGGCATGACTCGCATAAAGTTTTTCCAAAATCAACAAAGCATCCCGAGATGTCGAAGCAGCAGAAACAAATGAATAAATTGATTAAGAAATCGAGCAGCGTAAGGCGTGTAGAATGAGCTTATCTTGGCGAAACCAATATTGATAGGTTGGATTAGGAGTTGCAGTCGTATCTACCATGACAGTGCGAGAAGGAGCGACGGAAGTCCCGTCGATGAAGCCGAACAGATCGAGACCCATAAGGAGGGTTTCCAGCTGAGAGCGCCAGGATGCGAAGTTGGTTGGGGTGAGCTTCAGAGGAAGCTGAGCAGCTGGATTGAAGGTGATTTTGGTGGGGGTCTCTGCAGATGAGGCGGTGTTGACAACACCAGAGCTGTCGGACATGATGACCGGAAACTGAGAGGCTTGAAACTAAAGAGAAGTGGAAGAAAAAAAACGAGGAAAGAGATAGACAAATGGATCGAAGCTAGCTGATCTTGGCTTGCTCTGATACCATGAAGGAATAACAGAATTGAAGTGGAGAGATTCTGAAGCAATCAAAACGTGATTTGCCCTTGGATTCAGCTTCTGCTTTATACATAATTACAGGAGGTTTGTTAGATGGAAATGAAGAGTTTACAGGGGAGTGATGTAGTGGGTGCAGGTTAATAGGTGCACTTAGTGCACTAAGGGGTCGTTTGGAAGTTGTGATTGTTAGAGTTATGTTTGTTGAATATATGTATTATGCACAATACAATGTTTGGAAGTGTCAAAGTGTAAAACAATGCATGCATTGTTTTAGGTAGGTCCCACCAACAATCACAAAAAATGATGCATTATACAATCTCAACTAAAAGTTGAGATTGTTGTGATTGTTGGTTTTAGATTTATGTCAACTTTTTCTTTCCATTTATATCCCTAAAAGTTTTTGTCTTATTCTAAAAGTTGAGAGTAAATGTGACATTTTCCCATAAAAGTAATTTTATGTAAATCAATGCATAAAATAGAATCTCAACAACCAAATAATGTATTGTTAAAATGCATCCATTATATCAATACATGCATTTATATTATGGTGATTCATTACAATGCAACGATTTAACATTCGCAACTTCCAAACGACCCCTAAGTTAAATACAAAATTAAGAAAAGAAATATTATTCTTTTTCTCTAATATGTTTGATGGGCGGGATTCGCGTACTTCATAATTCACGCCGTGATATTTGTCTTCCCAATTTTCTTTTTATTTTCTTCAATCCACGAGGAAAGAGCGGACTGCGGAGAGACCGAAATCTCAGACAGGCGAATAACGACAGCTCAGCCACCGCTATAACAATTTCCCCTCTCTATATTCCATTTTTCAAAATTATATTTCTCCCGAAACAATTTCCCCTCTCTCTATTTCTCCGCCATCTACCAAAATACAATTTCCCTCCCAAAATTGTCCGTACTCCCGCCCCAAAGCCTCACCGGCAGAGCTCTGTTCGACGGAGGGGAAAATGGAAGAAGGACAAGGCGAGGTTGTTGCAACGGAGCAGAGCAAGATGAAGAGTAGCAAGCAGCGGAGGAACGTCATTGCTTTCACCGGCGGCGCGGCGGTTCTCGTCCTCGCTGCAAACTTGGCAATCTACGCCTTCAATTCCCACCGGAAGAGAAAGTCCGATAAGAAAGGTACTACTCTCTCGCTTCTTCAATTGCATTTTTGCTCGAGCTCGAAACTGCGTTCTGCTTCCATCTTCTTTGTCGAGCTATGACTGTCATTGAGTTTTGAGGTTCAAGAAGAAGTGAGAGAAGTCTCATTTTCGGCTTGTTTAGGTCTTCAAGGCTCCAGCGTTCGGATTAATCTGTCTGCGTCGGAGATTCTCAAATTGGCTGATCGAATCGTCGCGAAGTCGAAGCAAGTTCACGATGCAGTGGCTTCAGTGCCTCTTGACAAGGTATTCTTGCTTTGCTGCTCGGTTTCTTGATTCTTCGGTAGTGGCGTGGATTGTTGGAATGAGGCTCGTCTGCTTCATTGTTGACTTATTGCATTGTGAACTGACTCTATGCAAACACGCAGGTCACATATGAAAACAGTATCTCGCTGATGGCGGATTTGGAGGCGGAGCAATTTGCTTTGATTCAATCTTGTCTATTTCCTAAGTTTGTATCTGATTCCGAGGATGTCCGGAAAGCAAGCGTTGAAGCAGAGCGGAGAATCGATGCGCATGTTCTGGCTTGCAGGTGCTATTTATGTGTTCTACTCCTAGTCTAGTAATGCTGATTTCATCTCACATTTCAAAGTTTAGACGTGCTATTGTTGTGCTTCAATAGAGCAACTTTGGTCTTAAATTGGAGTGAATATGTGGAAGTTCTTTGGGGAAGCTGTCTTATCTTTGCAAGGTTCACGGCTAAGATCAGAATGGAAATATCATAAATGTGGAGTCTATTGAAACCAGCTTGTTACAATCTTCTTTGTTGATGTGGTATCTAAGGCTGACTGGTAGAATGCATTAGTAGCATGCTTTTCTTGTCCAACTTGCCATAGATTTTGCTTCATCTTAAGAAACGAGCTGTTTCTTGAGTTGAGTCTGTAATTGCAATTCCATATAGACATTCTAACCTTCTTCTATGTTGTGCAATCTATCCAGTAAAAGAGAAGACTTGTACCGAGTAGTTAAAGCTTTTTCGGTGAAGGGAGATTGGACCAACCCGGAAGCTAAACAATACATTAAGTGCCTGGTAAGGAAAGTTACATATTTAGACAGGCTTTGTTACTTAATATCTTAAGTTAAAGGTTTGTATTTGGATGGCGTATATCTCTATTGATGAAACTTCGAATTGGAAACTTGTAGTTTCTGTAATGAATCAGTAACAATAGGGTCCTTGTTTTATGAAAGACTGAAACCATTGTTTGGTAATTATCTGGGTTCTGAAGTTTCCAATGAATATGCTGGCCTTTTAGATTTCATATTCGGTGTTTTCTAAAGATATCTCATATGTCAATTAGTTATTCAATTCAGGCTGTTGATTATTTTCTTAACCAGTGACAGGTTAGAGAATTTGAGCGCAATGGTTTGAATCTCACAGTCAGCAAAAGAGATGAAGTCCAGCGGTTGAGAGCTAAAATAGATGAACTAAGCTTGCGGTATATACGGAATCTACATGATGATGAGACATATCTTCTTTTCAGCGAGTCGGAACTAGAAGGATTGCCGTCTGAGTACTGTAAGGCAAGTTCTTAATCTATCTTCATGTTCCTTTCTTTTTCCCCTAGATTCTTCTTTTGCTGAAATATATTCCCCTATGGTTTAAGCAAGTGACTGTACAGAAACTGGAGCATTAACAGCTCTCTTAGTCTTACTTTCCTGAGGTTTATTGCTCCAGTTTCTTACATGACAGAAGCATAAAGTGCAACTTTCTCTACACTTGTCTGTATGAATTTGAAATTTGACATATCCACTATTGTTTTGCATCATTTGATGTTCCATTGCAGAGCTTAGAAAAGGACGCGGGCGGAAAATATAAGATTTATATGAGAAGCAATCATATTGTTGCAGTGCTGGAACTTTGCAAGGTATGCTCCTCTGATGCCACATATTTTCTTAGATGTTAGCTTCCTTGTTTGTTAAAAAAGCAAAAACGGAAAGGAGTTTCCTTGTCAACTTTCAAATATCAGGAAGTTGGCTTGGGCTTTGGCTACTGAAGCAAGTACACGGTGCTGTTTCCAGATCAGGGAAATCCTGATTCAAAGTTCGAATAGTTCGTTCAGTTAATAGAACGTGACTTTAGTTTTGCTATATTTTAAGCTCTGATCATTCTATAACTAAGTTCTGATTGTAAACCTGACTCTGTATAAAAGATGGATAGGGTTATGCTCATCTTTCTAAATATTTTCAGGTAGGACAAACAAGGAAGAGAGTTGCGGTGGCGTATGGGAAGAGGTGTGGGCAGGTCAATTTTTCTGTGTTGGAAAGTTTGGTAGGTACTTTGACGTTTTCCCTTCAAAGCTATTGACTCTTGTATAATTTGAAGTTAAGTCTCCATAGTTTCCTATGATGATATGGTCAAATTTTATTACATTGTCCCTAACAGCAATGCGTTTATTGAAACTTGTTTGGGTTCCATTTTAAATGGGAAGTAGCTAACATTACCTGCATGGTATCTGTTAACTATAGTCTATTACTTTCCCTTTCATCATATATAAACAAAGAAAGAACATACAGAATAAAGTGGCATTAAGGTTTAAGAGGCATGGAGGAATGGATTAAAGGCAATCGTAAGGAACATAGTAAAACATTCCAAGTTGGTGGCATGGATTAAAGGCAATCGTAATTTGACAGAGGTTCTTGGAACTCAACAAGGAAATATATCCTTTTGTTTTTTATTGGAGGACAATGCAGCTTTGATTTGTTCATCACTCTTTTTTATTTTGTGGTGGGAATCACTCTTAAATTGCTACCTACTGATGGTACTTCAAAATGATATGAGGAACTATGCGAAGCAGGTTATTTTTTTCTTAATGTAATTATGATGAAGAGAATATCTGCTTTTGTGTTTCAGGTTGAACAGCGGCACAAATATGCTCGCTTACTTGGCTACTTGAACTTTGCAGAATTTGCTCTTGATCTTAGGATGGGAAAGACATCCGCAAAGGTCTGCATAGATTGTTTTATCACTTCTGTTGACATTTACCAATGGGTAAAAGTTGGGGTATAAGTGAGATTATTTGTTATAACCTATCTTTCGGTTTTAAAAAATGGCTTGTGAACATTTGCTTTGTCATTTAGAAAACCTCGTCTAAAAAAACCTGTCTTTCAGTTTATTAACTGATGTTTTTCATTCAGTTTTATAGCTGGTGTTTTTCATTCATTTGAGATCGTGAGATATCTTTCAAAAGTATAGGGCATGCTGGTCATTTTATGATACCTGGATTCTGTGGCTTGCTTGTATACCGATATTTTTAGATGAAAGATCTTATCCTTTCTAAATATGTTATTTATGTTACTGGCGAGTGCTTAAATTACTATTCCTCCTGTCCATAGCACTTCACTTGATGCTTGCTCACTCCTTTTGTTTCAGGTATTTGATTTCTTGGAAGATATCTCTGGCAGTTTGACACATTTGGCAACTAGGGAACTCTCCATTCTGAAGGACATAAAGGTGAGCAGTGTTCGCCCAATTTTGTCTGTATGCTTATCTTCTACTTAATTTTGATTTCATTATATTTTTGTCGTTTGCACCATATTGACGGACCAGAAGAATGAGGACGGAGATCTCCCATTTGGAATTGAGGATCTATTGTATTATATCAAGAGGTCCGAGGCAAAGCACTTTGACCTAGACTTCAAAGCTCTAAAACAGTTCTTTCCTGTGGATTTGGTACTATCTGGCATCTTCAAAGTAATCCAAGATCTCTTTGGTACCCATATTCGCAAGCAAAACTTAATCTATTTGTTTTGTCAAGCCTATGTATGATGTCCAGCCAAATATGTTAATTTGCCTAAAACAGCTACAATTTCTTGATTGTATACAGGATTAAGATTTGAGGAAATTGGGAATGTTGAGGTTTGGCATCCAGATGTTAGTGTCTTTTCAGCCTTTGACTTGATTTCTGGGGAATTGCTGGGGCATTTGTACCTTGATCTGTACACAAGGTTTGCTTTTCCGTTTTAATATATTACAATGGCCATTTGACTTTTTGCAAGTGTTCTTGAAGCATCACTGAATGGTTTTTGCATACAGGGAAGGAAAATATGGTCATACATGTGTTTTGGCGCTTCAAAATAGTGCATTATCACAGGATGGGACTCGACAGGTAACTTATAAGTCTGTAACCCTAACTCTCAAAATTTGTATTAGGAGCTCGTCTGATTATTCTGATTCCGTACTGTGCTTAGAAGTCTGTTTTTGTCTCCAGATAGCTGTGGCATTACTCATATCTCGTTTGCAGAAGGGAAAAGAAGGGAATCCTTGTTTGTTGAGGTTTTCCGAAGTAGTTAGTCTCTTCCATGAATTCGGGCACGTGGTATGTTCTCTACATCAAGTCAAGTCATATAGGTTGAAACAATTCAGATGAGTTTGACATGGTTGGCTTATGGTTGTACGTAGGTCCAAAATATCTGCAACCGCGCATCATATACCAGGTTCTCTGGTATGCGTGTTGATCCTGATTTTGTTGAGATCCCTGCTCTGTTGATGGAGAACTGGTAATGATTTCAAATGGCTGTTTTCAATTTTGTCTTGATTTGTGAGATGATAATTGTATGTACCTCACATTATTTGCTGATGTTTTAGGTGCTATGAGAGCTCCATATTGAAGTTGATATCTGGGTTCCATCAGGTAAATCCAATCTTTTATTTATCTAATCTTGCATATGCAATGGTCTAATCATGCCGTGTTTAAAGACAATTACTATATTCTTAGATGCTCTTGTTATATGTTAACATAGTTTTATGGCTTGATGTTACTTCTGTAGGATATCACAATGCCGATCAAGGACGAAACTTGCAAGTCCCTAAAAAGATGGCGGTACTCATTTTCTTCTCTTAAATTGAAGCAGGAGATTCTTTATTGTAAGTCCTAATATCTACCCGTATCAATCTGTTTTGGTTTGTTTGTCTTTCTCTGATGCCCCCATGCTATTTCTCGATGCTAATATCTGGTTTTTATGCTTAACATGAATCGAAACTTGCATCTCAGGTCTTTTTGATCAAATCGTACATTCTGCTGATAATGTGGACATTGTCGAGTTATACAAGCATCTTCATCTAAAGGTAAATGGACTACCTGCTGCTGGAAGTTATTTCACATGCAATGATAGTAATATAAGAGCAATAACGTTCAATCTGGACTGTGACGCACAATCCCTCATCCAAACGAGCTATAACTTCTTTTCTTCTCCTTGCAGGTCATGTTAGGGCTGCCAATGTTGGAAGGCACCAACCCAGCTTCGTGTTTCCCTCGTAGTGCCATAGGTTATGAAGCAGCGTGCTACAGTCGAATATGGAGCGAGGTCTGACTCAAGTCTCTCCAACTTAACCTGATAAAGAAGTCCAGAAATTTCTTCAACTTCCTTCCGTCCACTTCATCTAATCACACTTCCCCGTCACCCCATTCCCAGGTGTTTGCAGCTGATATCTTCGCGTCCAAGTTTCGTGGCAATCTCTTGAAACACCAAGTCGGCATTCAGTTCCGGAACCAGGTCTGGTGTTTCCCGAAATCCCTTCTCTCCACTTAGCTTCTCGCCATTGCACGTTGCCAGGTTAGTTGAGTCTATTTCTTTCTGCCATTTTTCCAGGTATTAGCCCCTGGAGGAGCGAAAGAGCCCATCGAACTCTTAACCGAGTTTCTCGGCAGAGAACCCTCCGTTCAAGCCTTCATAGACAGCCAATCTCAACACTAAACGGGGGGGAAAAAATCGCCAGAAAAGTGAACGTTTTCCGGTTGACTAATTCAGTCTTCTCCATCGTACGTTCTTTAACCCCACTTTCGTAGTTCGTCCGTTGGGTTGGCGGGTTCCATGTTCTGTCATCTTTGTTCAGTTTCTTTTACCCTTCACAAACACGCTAGGTATCAAAGGCGGAAAAGAAGAAAACGGAAAAATGAAGAATCCTGTTTTTTCCTTTTGTGGGGTCAGAAGAACATGTTCTTATTCTTCTTCCTTCCTGTTGTTGCTTTAATTCAACTTCTCTTTCCTTCTGTTCTCAGTGTTTAGCTCGGTTATAAACTTAAATCTCAACGGTAGAGTGCTTTAGCTGGCGAAATCTCATTCATTTTCGATCCATCGATTGAGAACGCGTAAGAATGTCTTTGGGATGATCAAGAACTCTTTCACACGATAGTCTTCCGTCTTCTAAATGTTATCGTCCATTATAATTCATAGAAGTTAGCGGTGTGATAATTCTATCAACACTGCGTTAAGTTTCCAGAAAAACCTCTTCTCTCCTCCTAATTCTATTTTGTTCACATTTTCGACGAATTAACAAAAAAACGTGTCACCATACCATGTTGATCAGTTTAGACTACGTACTTACAAGTTTCAACAACCTAATTATATGTCGTTTATTGAGCTGTTTTGTGAATAGACAGACTATGAATGTTATTAAAAGTCGGAAAGATTCTGCCGAATAATGCAAAACGAGTGAGGTCAGATCAAGACAAAAACACAATGTTAATGTATGATTAAGCTTTGAAAAATAAGATATATAGATAGATAAGAATACTGATGATGTTTCCATTTCCCTTTAATTAAGTTAACATCATGCAAACGTGGCCAATAATGGGACTGATTTTCCTGTATGGGGACTTCATATGGCTGGCTTTATATATATATATATATTAGTATTTGTTAGGATGTCTTGGGAAATTGACAAAGTAAGAGACATACAAATTTATTTAGTTCACTAACACAATGTGTATTAACTAGTTCATAAGTAGAAAAGAGTCGGTTTCACTATATTTGAAGATATCCATAATCTCTTCTCCAAATGACCTAATATATTAAATCGTGTATAAGCCAATACACCGTGACTTCCAATCGAAGTCAGAATTTTTTTCAAGTTATAACATCAATATTATTAGTATAGAGAGAGAGATTGTGCTGCCATGTTGATATCGGTCTCCATTTTTGACTTGGAATGATCGGAGAATGAGTCTAGGAAGAGCCCGTCAATGAAGAAAAGTTTGATGGGCTAGCATAGAAGCAGCATTGATTAGACTATGGAAATTGAGGTGGGAAAATTAGGAACATGGCAAGGAAAAAAGCATTTATTAATCTCAAGTACAAAGTACATTTACAAAGTCTAGTTTTTTTTTAATTAATTAATTTATTTCCTTACAGAATTAGAAAGATTGAGAATTACAGCATTGCATGATTCACTGGCGTCAGCCAACGGCCGGATGGGCTTGCTTAAACACCGATGGGTCTGTAAACCATGCTCCACCAAGCACGACAGCGGGAGGTATTGTTCGAGGAGATGATGGACGCTTTCTTAGAGCGTATACAGTGAACCTTGCCAGAGAATCTATCACCTATGCAAAATTAGCAGCCATAATGCACGGTCTTAAGATCACTTGGGATCTCGGGATTAGGAAGGTTGTTATTCAAATTGACTCGCAGATAGCGATCAGTCTCATCCAGTCAGCATCTCCATCAAATCCGCATGTAGTTCTCATTGCGGAAATCAATCGACTTCTAGCCCTGCAGTGGCAGGTCCGCCTTGAGCATACTTATCGGGAAGGAAACTTTGTCGCGGACTTCCTTGCGTCTTTGGGTCACTCTCTAGCTGTTAGGGAACATGTGTTTACGTCCCCTTTTCTTTTGCTGAACTTTTGGTTGTACTATGATCTTATTGGGGTCTCGACTTCTGGCTGCTCCCTTTAGCGCTCCGTTTCCGACAAAAAAAAAAAAAGATTGAGAATTCAATTATCATGGTAAAATTGACATTTTTATGTGTGAATCAAATAAGATTGAGAAATTTTAATTATGGTAAAATTGACATTTTTATGTATGAATCAAATAAGATTAAGAAATTTTAATTATGACATGTGCAAGTCGATAATGATAAATGAATACCTTAACTGTCTATAACGTGCAATCTTATAGTTGATTGGTGGTCTTGGTGAAGAAACTAGTGAATGAGCGAGACAAACATCTCAATTAGTAGAGTAGAGTAGAGGGCATTTTCACGGATTGTGCATGACAAGACAATCATAGATGAAACTCTTGTGCTCAGTCTGCTGGGTAAGTTGCGGTGTCATTCATAGACTAGTTTGAGAACTAAGACCGCATGGGTTCCCAATATTGCCTAGCTCTAGATTTTAGTAATACTTCTACATTCAAGGTTGATATCCAAGGCCTTAATGAAATTATCATCGTTGCAAGTGACAAGCTCATGTCTCATGATTTGTGAAACCATATTGGAGATCATGTCGAACTTATTTCAATGAGTAGCATATCGGTTAATGTCATCATTAATATAAAATGAAAACAAAATTATATATTCATCTAACATCATATCATAATATAACACCAACCAAAGCGGAATCGTATTACTTACTGCAAGTTGCCAATTTAACGACTTAAAACCAACTAAACGAAAAATTTCCTAATAATTATGTATTTTTTTATGGGAGCGAATACTGTACAAAACCCCAGCCTGCTAAACCCTGTCGTAACATCGTATCTATCATTGTATCACACAAGTAGTGACACAAGGATACGATCAGAGTTTTGTAGGGATTTGCAGGGAAAGGGTTTTATAACATAATCCAGACTTTTTTATGTGCAATTTATGTATTTTTGGGTACTAATTAAGAAGATGGTTTGCTTAAAGTATTTATTATTGTTGTTGTATGCATTCTATTCATAACAAAACTCTTGCTAAGTCTTCTATGTCAAATTTTCCTCCAGCCTTCAAACTTTTACCAAGTGACCACAACGACGGCCAGTAGTCAATTAATCAAGAAGAAAACTCAAAACCCAATAATCAAAGGAAAAAAGAAAACAATTAATTTTCTTCGTCACCAATCACCCAAAATTTCAGACGGGAAATACGAGAAGAAAGCAGGGGAGCAGAAACAAGTTTGAAGTTTGAAACTCCCAACTTTTCAATCATCAAAGCACAAACCCCTCTCTCTCTCTCTCTCTCTCTCTCTCTCCACAACTTTACTCTTGCTCTCTACTCTTTACTTTTCTCTCCATCCCGTGCGTCCAACTTTCCAATCTTTCTCTCCTCTTCTCTCATCTCTGCATGTTCTTCTTTTCCAGCCCCTGATCGTTTATTCAGAAACTTCCCAACTTTTCTCCTCCCTTTCTAAACCAGCGGTAGTCTGATTATCTTATCCCGTTTTGCTACGTTGTCCAAGCGAGGAGATCGGGGAATGTTGGTCGCTGTCGTAGCGAATGTCTCCCAAGTAACAAAGTTGCCGCTTCTGGGTTCGTTATCTCTGTTCTTGCTGATCTTACTTCTGAAAAATTGACTTTTACCCTGATGGGTTCGTGACTTCGTGATTTTCTGCCACAAAGTTTGCAACTTTGATGCTGGATTGAAAAGGGTTTTGCTTGATTGATTGATTTGCGTTGAGGGGGGAAGGGGAAAAAAAGTCAAGAGGATCGTTTTGGGATAAACTGTGGTTGACTTTTTTGGATTTAGAAAGGTTAACTCTTGGTGGGTTTAGGATTATTATTGTGAATTATGATCAAGCAGTTGCTGGGCAAGATTCCTAGGAAGTCGTCTAAATCGGCTGGAAATGGAGAAAACGGAAGGAAGAATGGTAAAAATTCAAAAGCTGTTGCTAATACTGTTTCAAAGGGCAGTAATTTTGGGGTCGATTCTTACATCGGGTATGAACGGTTCAACAATCAGCCTGGTTCAGATTCCGGGCAGAACAATGGAACCATGATTTCAATGAAGCATCAGAATGGCAACCTAGGATTATACTCCTACGAAGTGTTGCCAGGATTCAAAGATGTTCCAAACTCTCAGAAGGAGAGTTTGTTCTTTAGAAAGCTAAAGCTATGCAGCATTGTATTCGACTTCACCGATCCAGCAAAGCACGTTAAGGAAAAGGAGATCAAGCGACAGACATTGCTGGAGCTTGTTGATTATGTCACTTCTGCAAATGGGAAGTTCAGTGAAGCTGTTGTCCAAGAAGTGGTCAAGATGGTATCAGTCAACATGTTCAGGACGCCTAGTCCTCAACCCCGGGAGAATAAAGTTGTGGATGGTGTGGACTTGGAGGAAGAAGAGCCTACGATGGACCTCGCTTGGCCTCATTTGCAAATCGTCTATGAGGTCTTCTTGAGATTCGTGGCATCTTCTGAGACTGATGTCAAGTTGACTAAAAAGTACATTGACCAGGCGTTCGTTCTCAAGTTGTTGGACTTGATTGATTCTGAAGATCCTAGGGAAAGAGAGTACCTCAAGACGATTCTTCATAGGATATATGGGAAATTCATGGTACATCGTCCATTCATTAGGAAATCCATCAACAATGTGTTCTATCAGTTTGTTTTTGAGACCGAGAAGCACAATGGGATAGCTGAGCTTCTGGAGATCTTGGGGAGTATCATTAATGGGTTTGCCTTGCCTCTCAAGGAAGAGCACAAGATGTTCCTCGTTCGTGCTCTAATTCCATTGCATAAGCCGAGGTGCTTGGCGATGTACCACCAGCCTCTGTCTTATTGTATAACACAGTTTGTTGAGAAAGATTGCAAGCTCGCAGATGTTGTGATTAGGGGGTTGTTAAAGTATTGGCCGGTTACTAATAGCTCGAAGGAAGTCATGTTTCTGAATGAGCTTGAGGAGGTACTCGAAGCAACTCAGTCACAGGAATTCCAGCGATGCATGGTTCCTCTTTTTCATCAAATCGCGCGGTGTTTAAGTAGCTCTCACTTTCAGGTAACTGAGTTAGTTCTTTTGGTTTTGGATTGTTGGTGATGTTCCAATGTCTGATGTTGCAAATCAGGAGAGTTTCAGTCTTAATTGTTTAATTAGTTTCAAATTGTTGGTGAAGTTCTAATGTCTGATCTTGCAAATCAGGGGTCCTTTACTCTTAATTGTAGAATTAGTTTCAGATTGTTGGTGATGTTCTAATGTCTGATGTTGCAAATCAAGAGTCTTTCAGTCTTAATTGTTATTTTCAAGCATGTGTTTTGAGTAGAAGCATTGCTTGTATGAATATGATCACCAAAGAAGCAGGAGAGAAACCACAAATAAGTGATCGGTAGGTGCGAGTTGCTTCACGATAAGTTTGCATTGGCTGAAATAGATTTGGGGTCATTAACAAGTTGGTCAGTTGAGTCTGTTTTCTAATGAACTTAATGAAGTTTAAAAGAATGTAACATATCCGTCACTATCTATCTCCATCTCTGGCAAGCTTTTTATGTTGAGATATTTTATATCAGCATATGAACTCACCAAATCAATAGTCGAAAGTTATCGGGTAGTGGATGAAGAGTAGTTTTCTGAAATCTGTTAGGTAAAGTACTGGGATGGGTTTGGAGATAGTGTTGGTGCAAATGATACAGCTAATCAGGGTCTATAAGGCCATTTTTACCACTAATATGGCTGATCAGGCACACTAACCTGGACAGTTTGGAGGGAAAACCTGACCGCAGTGTATGAGTTCAGAAATGGATTGTGTAATTGATTCGAATGAAACGTAAACCTGGCATTGTTTAATCTTCTGTTACTCATGTATATTATACAAAAGCCCATAACCATTGCTTATGATTTCAGGTTGCTGAAAGAGCATTATTTCTGTGGAACAATGATCCAATCGAGAATTTGATCAGACAGAACCGGAAGGTCATTCTGCCCATTCTTTTCCCAGCACTTGAGAGAAATGCAAGGAATCACTGGAACCAAGCTGTCCGTAGCTTGACTTTAAATGTCCGCAAGATATTTGAAGATCTTGATCCTGAGCTCTTCAATGATTGCTTGCTGAAGTTTCAGGAGACTGAGAAGAAAGAAGACGAGACCAAAGCGAGATGGGAAGCCAGATGGAGACGCTTGGAAGAGATGGGTGCTCAGAAAACTGCAGGTAATTACAATACAACAGCCTGCTTTCCTTGGAAACCTTTCTAATTATCAGAGATGTTGTTGTAGTTTGGCGTAACTGTTTGCATGAAAACTTCGTAGGAACTTTTCTTGCTGTGAAATGTCGTTCTTAAGATTGTAACTCCATAAAGGGCCAATTGCAAACAGCTTTGTTAAAAATGTATTGAGAAAAGAATCAGCTTTCTTGAATATCTATCGTTCTTTCGCACCATGCAATGTGTGTAAGCAAGTGGAACACTATGGAAATGCATCAAGCTTTCCGTCCACCTGTATAATCATTGATTTCTCTTCGTTGTTCATCTTTCAACAGGTAAGTAGAAAGGGAAGCTAGCAAGCAATGCTGTTTGGCGCGAAGGACGGGATTCTCGCTATAAATGTGGCAGCCTTTTGCATCGAAAAATGGGGTTCTTCTTCTGCAAGATAGACCTGCGAACCTGACTAGCGGATGAGATAACCGAAATGGTACACCATTGATGACTTGGTGAGGTTTTTTGTCTTTGTATTGGAAGATTGAAGCTGTACTGCTAAACGTGAGAAGCCAGGTCCATGAAACTACTATGTGGAAAGGGGTTAAGTTGCTGAGACTGTTAGAAGAAAGAATATTTGTATTGGAAAGCTACAAGTTTGGTGCTTTCAATTGCAGAAAAGTGGTGTATGTTGAACTTTAAGTGAGCATTAAGATGTGAAATAGGTTAGTGAGCAGGGGTGTGGATGGATGTATCTTGTCATGCAATGTCACTCGAGTTTGAATTATCAGTTGAATATTTAAAGAGCAAGATAAGAAGTTTCTTATCTTGCTTGCTTTCTGTTTTGAGGGTAGTGATGAGGAGGAGACAACAAAAAGGTAAAGAGAAAGAGAAGTAAAAGGCCGGAAGTAGTTTTAGAGTTACTTATTTGAACGGGAAGATCCCAAACAGCTATAGATATTCATTGGCTCTCAGGGCTGCAAATGAGTGAACGGCTCGACACGGGAAAAGTTCATTCATAACCCGGCTTGTTAGTAAACGAGTCGAGTTTGAGCTCATACTTATTCGGGGCAAGTCAGTTTGACTCAATGGTTCACCTAGTTTAACATGTGAGTTGGCTCAATAGTTTGTTTAGGGAGCCAAATCGATTAGCGATTTATGAGTGAATCAATATATATAATTTCTGATGTGACTTCTTAATAATTTATACGTTTATTAAATTATATATCTTATAATATATGATGATTTCTAACTTTAATTTCGTGACTAAATATTTCGCATTTATAATTTGAAAGATAAATGATGTATTGTAGAAAGCTTAGTTAAAAATTATGAACTAAATTTATTATACTAAGTATATAAACATGGGATCAATTAGTGATGAAATATTTACTATTAATTTTGTTTCATTAACCACATGTATCATATGTGGCATACAAATATTATGGATCGAGAATCGGTCATCCTTACCTGCTGGGTTTAGTTTGTTTATGGGTAAATTGCAAGTTTGGTCATTGAAATTACTTAAAAAGTTCACGCTTGTCATTAAAATTAATTTATTTCATACGTAGTCATTCAAATTAGTTCAACAGTTCAAGTTTGGTCACTCTTCGTTAAGTTTTTCTGACGTGACAGTCAACTCTGAGTTGACTGTCAAATAAGTGACATGGCAATAATAAAAATAATAAATTTAATATTTTAGTAATTCCACCACCCTTAAACAAAATATTAAAATAAATAAAACAAAAAATAAAATTTAATCCTTTATTACTCAGCTACACATTATCAAATACTAAAGGGAAAACAAACAAACAGAGAAGATTAATTAACGAAAAAATAAAAAATAGGAAAGATTTCATAGCCCACGAGGATACATGATTTCCCCTTTTCTTGTTTCAATCGGAAGGAGCGGAAGCCAATATCTCCTTCTGCTGCGCCCATGTCTCGCTGGTCGCAGAAGTTAATTTGCTAACTGCATTATTCGTTAGCAGATACTCACAGGGCCAGATTTTGGGCCACGTCTGCTTGGGCTTCATCCAACGGAGGAGAGAGGCGGCGGGGTGGTGGCTCAATTAAGTGACCTGGAGATGGGCTTCCGTGTAGAAGCAGGCCCAGCGTGCGGCGCAGAAGGCGAGCCGAGCAAGTGGCGTGGTGGGCCCGACTTCAGTTTGGGCGGGATTTTGGGTTGGAGTGGAAAGAGAACGAAATTTTTGGGCCCATGTGATATTTATGTATGTTTGTTTGTGTGGATATTTATTTGTTTTCAGTCGATATTATTATGTGTTGTGTTGATATTACTTTGCATCATTGTTGAAATGAACTAGTATTCTTCCTTCGCAAACCAATATTCATCATTAAATTAATGTTTAACGGCGGCCCAAAATAACCCAACCACCATAAACTGATTACACCAATTTAGAGTTTAAGTTTTAGGTTTTAGGGTTCTGGTTTTCAATTTGTGAAGGATTGGAATATTGTGTCTTACATCAAATTAAACACACTATCAAGTCCTAACACATAAGGCTTGCAACCTTAGTTAGGGCTGCCCACCGAGGGCCCATGGGCCGAAGGCCCATGGAATAATAATAGTTTTTATTGTTTATAGTTTATTTTTTAGGGTTTAGGTTTTAGGTTTGGTTTAGAGTTTAGGGTTTACGCTATAGAGCTTAGGGTTAAGTTTCAACATTAGGGTTTAAGGTTTAGTCTGGTCAGTATGAATATCTATTCTTTCCTGATTATATTGTTTTTAGAGTTTATTTAGTAGTGTCCAGTGTTTAGGTTTTGGGGTTAGGGTTTCTTGTTGAAAAATTAACAGCTTCTACAAAGTAGGTAATATTAGATAGAAGGGACGTTTAATGTTTCAACAAATTGATATATACTTCTATGTTCTATGTCGTAACAATTTAGCTGACGTACGATAATACGAACAAAGTAGGTCATATTAGATAGAAGGGACATTTATTTGAACTTGAGAAAATATTCCTTTAGTGCATGTGTTTGGATATTTGTGTGGAACCTTTGAATATTCTCGGCTTGGGCAAATACCTTTGGATATTATTATTATTATGTCATAGTGATAATATCCATTTTGGGATCACATGATATTCTTCTGAGACAGAAGGATATTAGACTGGGTGGTGTGGATATTTGTCTGGGTAGTGTGGATATTCTTTTTCGTTTTAGGGATTAGGGTTCATTAGTTCATGTTTTCGGATATTTTTTCGGGACGTTTGGATATTCTAATGGGGCACTTTTGGTAATTATTCCGATGTGATCCTTTGTTTATTTAAGCATCTAGCACTTTTTGTAACTATTCGGATTAGTGTACAACAATAAGATATTAGTCTGTGTGTGATGGATATTAGTCTGTTATATATGGATAATCTTAATTTTGGGATCACATGATATTTTTCTCAGACGGTGGGATATTAGACTGGGCGGTGTGGATATTCATTTTAGTTTTAGGGTTCATGGTTCATTAGTTCATATTTTCGGATATTTTTCTGGTACTTTGGATATTCTAATGGGGCACTTTTGGTAACTATTCCGATATGATCCTTTGTTTATTTAAGCATGTAACACTTTTGGTAATTATTCGGATTAGTGTACAACAATAAGATATTAGTCAGTGTGTGATGGATACTAGTCTGTTGGATTTTGGTGTGGATACTTTTTTGGAGCCATCCGATACTTTTTTGGAGCCATCCGGTATTATTAGTGTGTGGTGGATGTTAGTCCGTGTGTTATGGATATTATTCTGTTATATGTACAATATTATTTAGGTGTCACTAGATATTTGTCTGAGACGTTTGGATATTGTTCTGTAGGGTTTGTGTTAAGGTTTAGGGTTTAATGGTTTAGTTTTGGTTTGAATTTATATTAGTTCATGTTTTTGTATATTTGACTGGGACGTTTGGATATTCTAATGAGACACTTTTGGTAATTGTCCATTAAATAACAATAGTTTTTATGGTTTAGGGTTTGTGTTGGGAAGAGGGTTAAGAGTTTAGGGTCTAGCTTTGGTTTGAAGTGATATTAGTTAATATTTTCGGAAATTTTCTTGGACATCTGTATATTCTAATGGGGCACTTTTGGTAACTATTAAGATATTGTCCAACGTTTATTTAAGCATCTAGCACTTTTGGTAACTATTTGAATTAGTGTACAACTATAAGATATTAGTCATTGTGTGGCGGATATTAGTCAGTACATGTTGGATACTATTTAGTTTGTGGTGGATGTTAGTTAGTGTGTTATAGATATTATTCTGTTATATTTACAATATTATTTAGGTGTCACTAGATATTTGTCTAAGACGTTTGGATATTGTTCTGTAGGGTTTGTGTTAAGGTTTAGGGTTTATTTTTTTTTAGGGTTAATGGTTTAGTTATTAGTCTTGTTGTCGTTTGCAATGAATGGATATTAGTTTACGTGGTTCAGATATTAGCTTTGGGTTGAATTGATATTAGTTCATGCTTTCGAATATTTGTCTGGGACGTTTGGATATTCTAATGTCACTTTTGGTAACTATTTCGATGTGATCCTTTGTTTATTTAAGCATCTAGCACTTTTGATAACTATTCGGATTAGTCTACAACTATCAGATATTAGTCAGTATGTGGTGGATATTAGTCTGTCTTAGTGATAATATCCATTTTGGGATCCCTTGATATTCTTCTGAGAAAGAAGGATATTAGACAGGGTGGTGTGGATATTCTTCTGGGTAGTGTGGATATTCGTTTTAGTTTTAGGGTTTAGAGTTCAGTAGTTCATGTTTTCAGATATTTTTCTGAGACGTTTGGATATTCTAATGGGGCACTTTTGGTAACTATTCTGATATGATCCTTTATTTATTTAAGCATCTAGCACTTTTGGTAACTATTCAGATTAGTGTACAACAATAAGATATTAGTCAGTGTGTGATGGATACTAGTCTGTTGGATTACGGTGTAGATACTTTTTTGGAGCCATCCGATACTATTATTAGGGTTTTGTGTTATGCTCACAAAAAGGGTTTGGTACTCGAGTAGATTCGGAATAGTGATTAGGGTTTTAGTGTTAGAGTTTAAGGTTTCTTTTTTAGGGTTAAGGTTTAGTTTTTAGGTTTAGGTGGTCTTCTTGTGGTCGGATATTAAACTGGGTGGTGTTTGTATTTTTTTTTGCAATGAATGGATATTAGAAGGGTGTCTATGTGGACGTGTATGAGATCATAATATCCAGACAACGCAGATTAATATCCATAAATTTCATAAATAATATCCAGACCTAACATAATAATATTCCAGAATAACAAACTCAAATCCATAATAAAAAAGAGTTGTTTTATCGACAAACCACGATAAAACTAGTATTCAATGCCATTACAACTTGGCAATCCCAAAATCTCAAATCCGAAAAAGCACAACCACATAAGAAATGAGAAAGCAATAGTTTTGAGCCAGTGATGTGCCTCCACCTCCCCTTCTCATGGAGGAGTTGGAATCGAACAACTTTTGGATCTTGTCATCTTGCAAAATTCCTGAAATACATGAAAAGATATCATTAGGCATATGCACAGTCCAGACTAATTTCCATATAGGGCATACAAATATCCAGACCTAGCATAAAAATATCCATGCATCATGGGCATGCTAAATACCGACATTCAACAAACTGGTATCCCATAGTTTGGCCCGAAGTTTGGCATAAGTGACAGTTCTGGCCCCATTTTTTAAATAAGACTTTTATGGCCTACTTTTGAAATTATTGGACAAATTTGGCCCAAAATTTTCTTTGACCGTTAATATTAACGGTCAAACACTATTCCGTTAGTGACTCAGCAAACAATCACTGATGTGGCATGCCACATAGCTAAATAATATTATTTTAATTTAATAATTCAATTAAAATAAAAATTAGCAAATTAATAAAATCCTCTTATTATCCCAAAATCCAAACCCTAGGACGCTCCACCGCCGCTTCCCCATTTCTTCGGCGACCCAAATCCAAATCCCCTCTTCTTACATGCTCTGCAGTATACTTCTGTTTTTTAGGCCTGGACCAGAGCATTACCATACCCCATTAAACAATCCAACATGGAAAGACCCACAAGGATGAGAGCAATTCCAGGACGGTGGGAGGAGAATCCACCCCATCTCGTTACTTCCCTTTCTCTCATGAACTTCCAGCCTCCGTCCTCGATGCTTTTTTCTCCTTTTACCTCCAGCCCACGAACCCGATCGACGATTCCGTCGAGATCAGCATTTTCGACACCACCAAGTACTTCAACGGCGAGGCTGAGAATCCCAAACTCGGAAACAGAGTATCCCCTGTTGTTGGTAATGGTAATAACTCCGGTATCGTCGTTTCCGATCCGCCCAGATTCTCGACCGCTTCCTAGTCGGTGGATGGGTATGGATACGCCAGCCGGAGACCGAACCGGGTTGTTCCACGCCACGCCACAACTTCATCGGAAGCCAGCTGGAATAGCCAGACCGGGCTGTTGTCGAACCCGCCGGGCCATGGCTATGTCAGTGAGGCATCCTCCAGTTTCCCTCACCGATGATGGAAGAAGAGAGGGTCGGCGAAGAATGGAGAAGCAGCAGTGGAGCTTCGTCAAGTCCTAGGGTTTGGATTTGGGAATTTGGGATAATAAGAGGGGATTTTCTTTATTTTTTATTTTAATTGAATTATAAAAGTAATATAATATTATTTAATGATGTGGCTTGCTACATCAGCGATTTTTTGCCGAGTCACTAACGGAATAGTTTTTGACTGTTAATATTAACGGTCAAAGAAAAGTTTGGGTCAAATTTGTCCAATAATTTCAAAAGTAGGTCATAAATGTCTTATTAGAAAAATTGGGTTAGAAGTGTCACTTACGCCAAACTTGGGGCCAAACTAGGGTATTAACCCTAAATAATATCTCAGGTCAACAAACTACCATATTAACGAGCAAAACTCAGAACCCCCAAAACAATATCCACATTCAACAAATTGGTATCCCAGGCATGCTAGATAATATCCCCGATCGACAAACTACCTTATTAATGAGCAGAACTCAGAACCCCCCAAACAATATCCAAATTCAACAAACAGGTATCCCAAGCATGCTAAATAATATCACACGTCAACAAACTACTATATTAATGAGAAAAACTCAGAACCCCCCAAACAATATCCACATTCAACGAACTGGTATCCCAAGAATGCTAAATAATATTTTAAGACAACAAACAACATAATAACGAGTAAAACTCAGAACCCCCAAATCGAAAGAATCCCAGATCCCCCAAATCGAATCCCAAGGCATAGAAAGTGAATCTCAAATCCCCCGACAAGAATCCCAGATCCCTAACAACGAATCTCAAATCCAAAAAATGAAGCAAAAAAAAAAAAAAAAAAAAACTCAGATCTAATTGAATCCATGAAACCCTAAATCAAATAACAAGAATCCCGAATCTCCCAAATCGAATCCCAGATCCCAGCCATAGAAAATACCAGATCCCCCGAATCGAATCACAAGGCACTGAAAGCGAATCTCAAATCCCCCAACAAGAATCCCAGATCCCCAATGACGCATCTCAGATCCAAAAAACGAAGCAAACAAAACTAAGATCTAGTCGAATCCATGAAACCCTAAATCATAAATGATCACAAATCTCCCATTTCGAATCCCAGATCCTAGCCATAGAAAATACCAGATCCCCCAAATTGAATCCCAAGGCACAGAAAACGAAACCAGGGTGCTGGAATCTTGTGCCGCGGATCCTGCCGAGCGATTGAAGTTCGCTCCAGTGGCCGCTTCGACCGCAGAGGAGGTGCGACGGGTGATGGGGTCGTCGGCGGGTTGGGAGAAGACGGTGGCAGACGATGCAGCTCTCATTGGTCTGGAAACGAAGGAGATGGAGGCAAAGAAAATGGGATGCGGCGACAGCGGCGACTTTTGCCCTTTCCGCGAACCGTTGAAGGAACGGCTGATGGCGGGGTCAACGAAGGAGAAGCGCAGTGACATTGTTCTCATGATCCCTAGGTTAACCTCCACCCACGCACAACAAGAGGCCGAGTCATTGGGCCAAATTGGCCGGGCCAAGTGGTCTAGGAGAATGGGAAGAATGGGCCGAAAAGTCATGGGGCAGGAGCTAGCACAAGAAAAGAAGGGTGTTGGGCTCTTGTTTGGCTCACCAGATCAGATGAGCGGGTCACTAATTGAAGTGGCTTGGGCTTTGAGTGGACCAGCTCCTGGGCCGCGCATGTTGGGGCTAACAAGGTGTCTTCTCTATGGTACTGGGCCAAAGGTTGAGCACATTGGGCCGTGTCTGCAAGGAGTGATTGAGCCCAATATACATTGTGTTCTGCTGAAAGGGGGCTTAGAGGAAAAGGAAGATGAGATTAAAGGCTTATCTGGTGGGCTAGTAAGAGAGAGTGGCCCAACATTAATTGGAGAAGTGATAACGATGTAATTGCACATATTTGCGCCCCTAGTTCTTATCCGTTTGAGGGGCATAGTCGTGTATTTTTGTCCTATTTTACGCCGGGTTGTGCTATTTTGTCATATTTTAGGTCCCAGGCGTCAAAGGAAAGGCTAAGCACGAGTTTCGGGCCATTCGGAAGTCATTTCGTCGAGTTGGAGCCAAAACACGAGCACACCTAAAACAGAACACGGCCGTGTTCTGTGGCCGTGCTGTTACTGCCGAGAGCTAATTGAGTTTGGCAAATTCAAGCTGCAAACACGGGCTGAAAGCACGGCCGTGTCCACCAAAGCACGGCCGTGTCCTCCCAAAAGCACGACCGTGTTTCTCCCAACACAATGGCCGTGTAATTAACCCTAGCCAAAGCACGGGCGGGCTGGAGCAAAGCACGGCCGTGTCCTCGACCGTGCTTTGCCCAGTGATGCCTTTTTAAGCAGATTTCAGCCAAAACAGAAGGGGATTCGAGTTTTGAGAGAGATAGAGCGATTCCTAGAGAGAGAAAGTGACGAACAAGAGTCTCCAAGTGACCTAGCTTGATCTTCAACACCATTGGAGGCCAGTTTGAGCTTGGAGAAGTGCCAATCAACGTCCAGGAGCAGGAATCCATCCTTCACAGTATGAATTCCGCGTCTGATTCTGCTTTTGCTTCTTTCTCCATGGAGTAGTTCTCCCATTCATCTGGGTATGGGAAACCCTAGATTTGTATGTTAGGTTTGATTGTATGAACCCAAGTACTGATTCTATGAGTTGATTATATTCGGTTGAGGCTTGAATGATTAAATGACTTGAATCCTGATCAAATTCCTGTTATTTCTGCTTTAACCTAGAATGAGAATATCTGCCTAGGTTGATAGAGCATCCTTGATTGAAGGTAGGGATTTAGTGACTTTAGTCGAGGAGCCAACTCACTATTCTGTACCGAATTCACTTCGGTAGTGGAGGTTTTGTTCGTAGGGCCTCGATCTGTTTACTCCGGTGGAGGTTAGTCGCCCGCTAGAGACTCAGATTGAGAGGGCCTGAAGACCTTTAGTCGAGACTTCAGGCTGTTTAAGAACCTTCCGCAGTATAACTATCATAGAAACTGAACTTGGTAATTGCAATCCGGCTTAACTGCAGTCTAGGGGGAACCATATCCGGGTGACCTCTCTTAACCTGAATACAACAGTTTACTTGCTTTGTTAGTTTGGTAGTTTAGACTTGCATTAAAGTTTCATTGCTAGATAACAAGAATTCACTGAGTAGTCATCAAATCTAGGACCCGGGTTGACATTTAAACCCAAACCCGCTATACTACGCTTTAGGAAGTGGTTTCACTTGGCCAATTCCTGGAGTGACAGTAGAAGTGAGTCAAGTTTTTGGCGCCGTTGCCGGTGACGGCTAGGTTTTTGAAGAAAAGTGATTTCTGTTAATTTAGCTTTTCTTTTTGCTTTGTTTGCTTTGTCCCACTTGTGCCTTCACGGGTTTGCTTGCTTGAGTGTGTGCAGGTAGTGCATGACCCGTAGCCAGTCGGGAGGTTTACTGCCGTTGAATCCAGAGATTGATATTTCTATGATGGGGGTTGGGCCTAGCAGAGTCGTGTGGGCCCCAAACCCAGAATCGTCGTTCTCTGTGAATTCTTTTTACAGGTGCTGGGCCGAAAGACGCTTTCAGGGTACAGGTGATTTCCCTACTGCAGCTGTTTGGAAAGGAGTTGTTCCTCCCAAAGTGTGTGGGTTTCTATGGTTGGTGTTTCATAAAAGCATCATTACCTTGGACAACCTCAAAAGAAGGGGCTGGAAGTTGGCAAACAGATGCGAATTGTGCTATTGCCAAGAGGAAACTATTGACCATCTTCTAACGGAGTGCGCTTTCACCAAGGATATTTGGAGGAGGTTGCAGCGTGTTCAGAGGATGTGTGTGGTTTCTACTGGAGACATAACTGATATCATTAGGAGGTGGCCTTCGGCTCATCCAAATGATTTGGATGGTTGGTTTCTTTACTGCCTCCTTCATGCTGTATGCTGGAACGTGTGGAAAGAACGTAATCAACGCTTATTCCGCCAAAGTTACTGGGAAGCGAAGGAGGTGGCTTGTATAATCGCTCGTAATGCATTTGATTGGATCTCGACTCATGGAAAGGTGAACAAGAATGATGTGGCTGACAAGCGAGTTCCCTCTTTGCATATGATTTGCCAATGATTGGGATGTGCTCCTTTTGGGTTTTTGCTGTCATGTTTCGGCTGATCTCTGGTGTTGGGTTCATGCGCCTCTTCTAGCGGCTGACTTCTGTTTCGGCTGATTTTTGGTGACTTTCGATGTTCTGTGTTGGTAGCCTTTCCCTCTCTTTTGTAGGCTGCTTGCCTTTTTCTTTTTTGTTGGAGACTTGTTGTTGGGTTTCATCCCCTGTAGGTTTCTATTTGATTTGATCGCTGCAGGGATGGCCTGATCCATCTAGCAGCAACCCTTCCCCCTGTTTGTAGCTGTTAATTGCTTGTTATTGCTGGGTTTTTTTTTGGTACTGTCGCGTTGTTGACGGTTTGTTTTGTTCGTCTTTCCGTTTTAATACAATCATCACCATTATATAAAAAAAAATCATCATCACAGAAACACCCAGTGGCTAAACGCACTGCGTGCTTATATTTTACAACTCAGTCGTAACATTTTTCAGAGGCCCGAAGCAACAAAATCTATTGGGTAGCAGACCAGCAAGAAGGGTCTAAAGCATGATAATGATTTCCATATCTCACCAGAAGTGATGGGTACAAATATAGATAAAAGCAGACGGAATTCAGTTAGATGCAAATTTCTTGTGTCGGATACTTGTATTCTAAAAAATTAGTCATGCCATTTACAACACCATATCCTACCCAAAAACAGGTATCAGCAGATCAACTCTATCAAATAAAAACTCCGGAATGCTAGAAACATGCCATAGCTTTATAAATAACAGTACTCATGACATGGAAAGTTAACAATCTTTTTTTTTACAACGAAAGTTAACAATCACTGAGGAATTAGGATTCAAGTTCACAGTTCTTACCAAGAGGACGGACCCAGTACTCATGACATACTTACAAAACCTGCCAATCATGTTTCCAGCTATCCTAACTATGTTGGACACATAAATAAGCATTACAAAAAAAAATCTTATTACATACCTTCGGTTCACTAACTTG